TACACCTCATGGGTCAAAAGGAGGGCAGAGAGGATCACTGCAGACCCCTCACACCCGGGACACAATCTGTTTGAACTCCTCCCCTCTGGACGGCGTTACAGGTCACTGTACGCCAAGACAACCAGGCACAGGGACAGTTTCTTCCCCCAGGCCATCACTCTGATGAACACTTGACACACAACAGTATGACTGGACAATAACCCTCAGTGCAATACTTGTAAATATACATTTTACAGATTATACAGATCTGTACAGGTCTCTATTTTTATTCCTACTTATCTCGTTTCACAGTGAGCATTCCTTTGTCTGTCTGCATTGTTTACTGCCTGTTTATACTGTTTATTTTGCATTGTTTGCACTGTTTGTTGCAGGTAAATACTGCTTATTTTGCTATATTACACAGCCTTATGTTTACTGTTTACTTGCCCCTTGCATGGGGATATGTACATGCACATTGAGAGCCGATATACCATAGTCAAATTCCTCGTGTGTCTGACACACCTGGCCAATAAAGTAGATTCTCATTTATTTGGAATAAAGAATAAAATTGATGAGGTATCGCATAAAATAATTTTGCTACTATTTAGGCAAAAATGTTACTTTACCCTGTAGAGACTGGTGGGAGTTAGCATAGTATACAATCCAATTTAAAACCAAATGAACAACAGAACTTCCAATATCAGGTCTGTGGACAAATATTAAGTTTGTGTCTGTTACATAATTGTTCCTTGATATTTAAACCCCTGTTGTAGATAAACTGCTTATAGCTAACTGTGTGTTGTCTCTGACTGTCCCAAGACTTGGGAGAAAAATCATCTGTTTGCAGATGAAAAGCAGGCCACTCTGTTCCTGGGAACACTGGACTCCATCTTCCTCTTCTCGTATGCTGTGGTGAGTAGGGCTCATGATTTTGTGTTTAAACCACAGAAATGGGCCGAACTTCGGGCATTAACTGTACAACACAGCTCATTTATTGTGTTCCTGTCCGCACAGGGTCTGTATTTGAGCGGCGTGGCTGGGGACAGAGTGAACCTGCGTTATGTGCTCTGCTTCGGACTGTGGGGCTCTGCTGCAGTGGTGAGTCCACAGACTCTAAGTTAAGTAGTGTATCTGATCCTTGATAGTGTCTTCTTTAAATTAGTATCACACTGAATTCTCGGTAGTATTGAGTTTCAGTATTTTAACTTTTTAAAGATTATATAAATTGTTCATTTTTGGAAGTTGTTGTCCACATTTGGTTTCACCTGATTACTGTTCTTGAAATCTTCAAATAAATTGTGTCAAATTTGGTAGCAGTCTACCCTCACTCAGCTGTGCATAATGAACGTTGCACATGGTTAGCCTGGCACTTACAGACATGTATTTGAATTATCTTGCAGAGAAACCCAGTTACACAGTACCTGATTCTTTATGATGAGGTTTACTTCTGAAATAAGTGAAATTGTAAAATGAGATATTTAGGTTATATAAAAAATGGTTAATGATAGATTCTGTTAGAAGAAGAAGCAGCTTTATTTTATTGTCATTGTGACGCCTACAATGAAATCTTGTGTGGAGACGAGGGCCCCGGGCTGCTGCGTGCATACGTGCTGCCATCATGGGCAACTTGGGGGGGCTCAGTGTCTTGCCCAAGGACACTTTGACATGTGGACTGCAGGCACCGAGATTCGAACCTTCAACCTTCCGGTTGGGAGATGACTGCTCTACCCACCGCACCACTGTTGCCCCCCCAGAAGTGATTATTTTAGCAGTAATTATTTTGAATACAACATATGCTGTTCATGTGTCTGCAGGAGTTTGTATTTGGCACTCTGACTGAATGGCTCCACATGTACAACAAGATTCTGTACTGCAGCCTGTGGGCGCTGAACGGCCTGCTGCAGTCTGCAGTCTGGCCATGTGTCGTGGCAGTCATGGGCAACTGGTTTGGCCAAACAGGGTGTGTGATGATTCTCTGTTTACAGAATCAGCCTTTCTCCAGCATTGCTTCAGGCGTTAGCAATGGATATGTTTGCATCTGTCCAGGCTAGGCATATTTAGTCAAGCTTTAATGATACATACTCACACTCACACAATGACATCCATTCACTAGAACTAAACACAGACACCATTTAGACTCAGTTTTTCTCAGTGGGCAGACCTCATGCACGTCATTTTGCTGGATATAAAAATAGCACGTCAATGAGATGTATGTGAAGTTGCATTTAATATGATATAGTAAGATTTGTATTTCAAGTGTTCTTTCACAAGACACATCTGAAAACAAAACAGAAGGGCTTAAAAACGTATTTCTAACATAATAATTAAGTTCATGATATTTTCTCTAGGCGTGGCTTTGTGTTTGGCTTGTGGAGCGCTTGTGCCTCTGTAGGCAACATTCTGGGGGCATTTCTGGCTTCCATCGTTATGGATATGAGGTAACGCACACATACACACTTTACTGATACTTTTTATCATAATATTTGCAGCAGTTACTGTATATACTCACATGATGTATTGTGTTGCTGTGTGCAGTATGCCTTCCTGGTGACCTCTGTGGTCCAGTTTGCTGGCGGGGTGGTGGTGTTCTTTGGCCTGCTTACCTCTCCAAAAGAAGTTGGTAAGGACTTCAAGGAACATGTCAGAAAATATGCGTATACCAACGTAATGTAAAATACTGCCTGTATTCCATGTATGTGTTTGTGTGTGTGTGTGCGCACGTGTGCATGGATCACGTTGCTGCTTTTTTGACAAGACCACCCAACACCACGTGTACTTTTAATGGAATTTATTCCCACTGAAACCAATCTGAACTTGTCACACTCTGCCTGAAATAAAACAGCTGTCCTTGCATTAACTAAACTCTTCATTGAACTCAGCTACAGCTTTAATGTCTGTTATTTTGTGTGTGCGCATGTGTCAGGTTTGAGTTTGGAGTCAGAGACCAGGCTCAGCCCAGTAGAGACAGATGCAGACAGCCACAGACCTCTGATGAGCGACGAGGAGGACGAGGTGGAGGTGGATGTGTATGCCAAGCGAAACCAGTCGGTTCAGCCGCAGGATGAACCTCTGGCTGAGTCTCCTCAAGCTATTGGCTTCTTCCAGGCTGTCTGCCTCCCTGGAGTGATACCTGTGAGTCTGAAGCATCAACAATATGTCAAGGCAAATTAATTTACAACAAGCATTTTACCAAATTACACAGTTGGTTCTCACGCCATGTTGACTCTGTGTCTGTGTGTACTGCAGTATTCCCTGGCGTATGCATGTCTGAAGCTGGTCAACTATTCCTTCTTCTTTTGGCTTCCGTTTTACCTAAGCAAGGAGGCTAAGGCCGACCGCCTGTCTGTGTGGTATGATGTCGGTGGAATCGTCGGTAAGAAGCAGGCTTATTGCTGCTGGTGGTGCTGCTAAATCTTTAAGTGGAGTAGAAATTATTATGTACACAGACATATGCAAAGTTTATCTTACTCAAAAAAAAAATTATGATGATATGAAGTATTCAATTAGGTAATTTTATCTAGTGGCTCGTTCTCGTGTCTAAAAATGCTCTTTATATAAATGTTTTATTTCTCAATCTGACCCTGTCATCTTGTTTCTTTGTGACAGGGGGAACAGTGCAGGGTCTGATCTCTGACTTCATGGGGAAGAGAGCCCCGGTGTTGGCATTCAGTCTGGCAGTGGCAATGGGATCCCTGGTGGGATACAGCCGTGAGTACCGATGCATTAACAAGCACCTGTAAGCCCTTCTCGAGCATTGACTCAGGAACTAGACCAAGAGTGCCCTGTCTCTCGCCACTCTTAGGCTCACCTAATAACCAGCTGATAAATGCCGTGCTGATGGCTACCACTGGCTTCTTCATTGGTGGACCATCCAACATGATCAGTTCTGCCATATCTGCAGACCTGGGGAGACAGGAGGTTCTGAGGGGCAGTCAAGAGGCTCTGGCCACTGTCACGGGTATAGTGGATGGAACTGGAAGTATAGGAGCTGCTGTAGGACAGGTAAACAAGAATACAGGGCATTTCAATAGGAAAACTCGGGTTGTTATGCCTAAATAAATTATTAAGAAATAACAGCAGGAAAAGAAAATGTTGACTAAATTACAGAATAAACATTTGTCACTGGGTAACAAACAAAGCATGCACTTAATGACAGTCTGTGACTCTGTCTATGCTGCTGTTGAAAAGCATTGATTGTCTTGTTATTGCCCAATTGTTGTGCCATTCACATCCATTCAAAGTAGAGCCAGCGTCCTGAAATTAATTGTATTCTTTTGTAATGTTGTTAGCCTGCACTTCCAGGTTTTCATATGCATGCAGATTCTTGCACACATCTTGCAACAACTGCACCATATTAAGAGCAAATTTTTAGTACTTGTTAGATTATATAAATAGTCAGACATCATCTTTGGCATATCCATGTAAAATGTTTTTAGGTGCAAATGGCATTTATGTATTATGAAGTAGTTACATTATCTGAAATAGTCATGAGAACACAGCTGCACTACAAGGTTGAGGGAAAGTAAGCTTAAACATTCTAGCTGAGTAGTCAGTTACTGCCCACAGTGTCCATCAGTGGTTTTTAGCTTTTGTAGAGACACTTTCAGAATATACTGCTATTTTTATATCCACATTCACATCCATAGATGGATTTGCATTTGAGATGTGCGTCTATATCTTTATTACCTTCTAGTACCTGGTGTCCTGGATTGAGAGCAGGCTGGGCTGGATGTGTGTGTTCTATTTCTTCATTGTCATGGTAAGATGATTTGCTGAAATGCCTGTTTAATCAC